AGAGTGAACATGAAAACACGGGACCTTCACAATAAAAAAGGACACATGATGCAGGAGAGGCAGACGAGAGGGAACGTGAGGGAACACGAGGGAACGCGAGGGAACGTGAGGGAACACGAGGCAACACGAGGGAACACGAGGGAACACAAGGGAACGCGAGGGAATGCGAGGGAACGCGAGGGAACATGAGGGAACACGAGGGAACGCAAGGGAACACGAGGGAACACAAGGGAACGCGAGGGAATGCGAGGGAACACGAGGGAACGCGAGGGAACACGAGGGAACGCGAGGGAACACGAGGGAACACGAGGGAACGCAAGGGAACACGAGGGAACACGAGGGAACACAAGGGAACACGAGGGAACACGAGGGAACACGAGGGAACACAAGGGAACACGAGGGAACACAAGGGAACACGAGGGAACACAAGGGAACGCGAGGGAATGCGAGGGAACACGAGGGAACGCGAGGGAACACGAGGGAACACAAGGGAACGCGAGGGAACACGAGGGAACGTGAGGGAACACGAGGGAACACGAGGGAACGTGAGGGAACACGAGGGAACGCGAGGGAACACGAGGGAGAGCACAGACATGACGGGCGGGGGAAACATGGATAACATGAAGGAATAAAAAGCAGAAGAACTCACACAAAAAAACAGTTGATGTGCTCATGGAGTTTTTTTCTATTTGTGGATGATGAACTGTTGTTTGCTGGAGTTACTACACTTTTATTCCTATCCTTAATCCTCCTGCTGCACATCATTTGGACCTAAATCTTTCTGTCAAGCCAACTGACACAAGTCATTTTTGAGTGAGTGAATCTAACCAGCATCATCAACTTAAATTAAACTGATGTTCTCAAGCAAGTTGATACTTCATGTTGCCTTCCACACCGTCTAGTCTCACATTCAGCTCATGACAAGCCTTTTCTAGTGCTTTTGCCTCCTTTGTCTTTATTCTAGACTCTAACTACTCCTGACTATTCATCTTTGTCAGCCTCGTCCTCTAAATACTTTCCAGTACTTCCTCCTTCCACCACCAAGTCTCGCCTTCTTTGCTACCTTTACTCATCTACTTAATGTCTAAGTTCATTTGTTATTTGCTATTTTAATGAACAATAAAAAGAATCATAAAAGCACTTCTAAAAGAACAATGAATCCATTAACAGACAGTAAAAAATAGAAAGTGGACTTGCAGAAATAAAGCTAAACACTTCTTTGCAAGACACAGAAGGTTCTGAACTCTGAAGAGAAAACGGAAATCAAGAGGTGAACCTTCTGTGAAGATACAGTGGTTTTCAGACATGTTGAAATTCAAGGAAAAAACAGTTCGAGACGTCAAATATTTGTCCAAAAAAAAGAAAAAGTGCGTTGGATGTTTTTAACCAGGACATCAGTCAAAAAGCTGCAAAAGAAGAAGTCTTTGTGAAACATGTTTAGGAAAACACCCAAAGTTTTACAGGAAGATCACAAAAAGGAAGAGAGAGAGTGCAGTGATGAGCATGGGGAGAGTGTAAAAACTCAAAAAACGCTGAGTCAACGGAAGGAAAAAATGAAGCTACATCAAACAGATCAAAGCATGGAGCATGTACTCCTCTACAGTTGTCCCAGTATGGATATCTACATCAAGTGACCCAGAGAATGAAATCCTCGTTTATGCACTACATGATGACCAAAGCGTTACCACATTCATCATGCGAGAGGCATCTGGGAACAAAACGAGAGCCAGTGGAGTTAAAGCTCTCCACACTTTCATCCAGAAACACGATCATCCCAAGTCAGAGCTGAGCTGCACTGCAGGTGAGAGGTTTCTGCTCGTCAAAGGTTTCTCTCCCTGTAACCTACCCAGTGCAGTTCATTCCTGCCAAAGTCGCATTCCTACACCTCTGGGAAACAGTGGTCTCGACTATGCATCCATCGGAGTGTGAATGTTAGCCAAGCAGCACTGAAGTATAGAAGAAAGTGCTTGTATGAATGGGTGTGAATGAGGCATGAGGCAATACTGTTGCTGTCTAATGTTAAGTACATTCAATATATGCTCCGTTCAGGACAAAGACTGGGACCAAATGTTAAATTATAATGTTTCTAATTCAATATTATGCAGGTCATCTATTGTGCGACCTGCAGTCAGGTTGTTGACTCCTAAAAAGAGACACAGAGCACATACCACAGATCATATTGTGGCCACGTGCTCTTTAGCTGCCATGATGCCAGGTCTCTCTCTGGATAAATAATAACTAACTAATAACAGGGCTTACAAGGCCAAACCCCACAAACCCCAAACGTGTCAGAAGATTCAGACTGTTACCTGCATCGAACACATGGATTTCTTACATGACAAAAACGTTTCTATTTTACCAAGAATGAGATTTTCCAGGTTACATAGACAGTCCAACGTGTCCAATGTCCAACATAAGACATGCAACGTTGGCATTTAGGTTCAGCAAAACGATAATTCATCAGAATGACATTTTAAAAGTATCAAAGGACAACAATAATCATATAGACACTGAACAGGACAGAGAGTAAAACACATGAAAAGCTGCACTCAGCAGTGATAAGGACAAGACAGACATGTAGGTACTGCACCTTCTTCTTGTTCTGGGCCAATTTCTGAGCCATCTGCCAAGCATGGAATAAAGCACACAGGACAATCACGGGTTAGGTCAATACACAGTAAAACATGGATTTGTGTATTAAATAACTGTCAATGGTGCGCCAAAAGGCTAATGCTCCAGCCTTTCAACAACCTCTATATATATACAGAATATTAATGATTAACAAACAAGGCTTGTCTAAGTCACCCAGGCTTGTAAGCAGCACAGTAAAATTGATTTAATGCAGTCGGTTCCCTAGATTTCCCAATGCATGCTAACCATGTGCAATGGAAAATATCCATATGGAGATTTTACTGTTTATTTGTGGATAATGAATTGGATGCATAATATTTATTCCCTGTATATAGTAAATAATACACCTTATGTAGTGTGAACTTCCACAGCCCACAGTGCTTTATTTATAGTGCCTTTTGTGTGCACCAGTAGTCGAGCAGCTCTTGAGCCACTTTGGCGGACTCACACTCCGTCACTTGCTCTGTCCACTCTTCTCCCTGTAAGATCCCAGCACCCAACTCAAACAGGGGAGACATGATGAGATGATGGAGATCAGCCTCCCCTGACACCACACCCTGAACCCGCTGCTCAACCCCTCCCCTGCAGTCGAGCCATAAACCACACCCCGCCACGTACCCCCATCACTTGACATAGAGCGGGGAGCCGAGGTTAAATCTTACTGCACGTCTGTCATTCTCCTTTGCAGATGTCTTCGTGCAGTCATGTCCATGTCTTTGTCACATCCATGCTATTAGTTGCTTATCAATCACTTCAAATGCTTGCAGCCTAATCTACAGTCCTGCCATCATCACCGTCCTGGAAACACTCATATGAAAGCCACAGCAAAAGCAGTTCTCTTGTCAGCAAGGGCAATCTAGCTCTGGCTTTAGCGCTGGGCAGTTGCACAGGAGCTTGTTTCCATTCTCTCATCCACAAACCTTAACATGCCCCCGTCAGCCAGTTTTGCCACCGGGAGCAGGCGATAGCCTGCTTCAGCAACAGCACGCAAATTTCTCCCATTTGTGTCTTTAATATTCGCACAAGTGTCGAAGAATCAGAAAGGTAAAGTCCAGTTTAAGATGTCAAGGGTAAAATGAAGGGAATGGGGACGAGTTGTTGCAGTCCCTTCATTTTACCCCGAGCACTCGGCTATGACGAACCTCTTATCTCTTGCTATTTTGCAATCATCTTACTTTTAGCTGAAATGTTCTTTTGTTAACACTAAATCCAGACTCCATATATTTCAGATCATACTGACAGTCCCTGTTAACGAGCTCACATTCCCAGACTAATCAGCCCATTTATTTCAGCAGCCCAATCATTCAATCAGTCATGTGTGGTAATATTATTTAAGCCTGTTTGACCAAATCAACTTCTAGCAGTTATAAAATTCATTCTCTCACCTGCAGAGTGGTTTTAACTGCATGCACTCAGCATTTGCTTATTCCCCATTGGTTTAAAGCTGATCAGTTTTTTTAAAGCATAACCCAACTGAAAACTATAAATGTCTTTAGCTCTAACAGTCATACCGCCACAGTCCTGGGTCAGTCAGTTTGAGTTTTGCATTATTACTGAACTTTGATTTTGTCAGCATTTATCATTTCTAGTCTTTTGGTTTCTGTGTTAGTGTTCTTTGTATTCTTGCCCTGAGTCTGTGGACGCAGTGATTTGGGGTTTGGTGTATTATTATTATTATTATTATTATTATTATTATTATTATTATCATTTGTGGACTCATGTTCTAGCTTTGGGATGATTTGTGTTCTGCTTCTGGGATTCTGGGCTGGTGCTCCCCCTGTTGGTCCCTGGTGTTACTGTTTCCTCTGTCTCGTCAGGTTAATCAGGTCCAGCTGTGTCTCACACCTGTGTGTGATTTCCCAGTGTCCCTCTGTGTGTATTTCATGTGCTCGTTACTGGTCCATCTGTGTTTGTCTCCTGGAAAACTGTCTGTGAACTTCTTGTGTTTGCCTTTTGCAATAAACCTCCCTCACAACTCCAGTAAATGCCTGCATTCGAGTCCTCTTTCCCACTGTGTTCCATGGTTGCTCTGTCTCCCCTGTCAGCTGTCTGCATCTATGTCTTGTGTTTCCTGTTTTACTTTGTAAGTCTGTGTCTCCTGTCAGTGTGTCTAGTTTGGCTTCCCCTGGTCTTATTGTGTGTGATTACTCCCAGCTGTGCTCTCCTCCTGTGTCCCATCCCTCGTCATCCCTCTGTGTGTTTTAGCTGTGTGTTTCTCTCAGTCAGTGTCGCATCGTCCCCTCATGCTGTGTGTGGTTCCCCCTGAGATCGCCGGCCCTAGTTTCTTGGTTTTGCAGTGTTTTGTATTTAGTTCCCAGTTCCTAGTTTTTGGTTTTGCAAGTATTTTTTGTGCACGTTTTGCCACTGCAATAAAGCAGCCTCCTTGAGTTTATTCCTCTGTCTGTGGACAGTGTGTCCTGCATTTTGGGTCCTACATCCTGCCTGCCACAGCCGTTTCATGACAGAACGACGCAACCACACAATGGACCCAGCAGCACTCGCGCCGTCTGAAGAGCTGGATCAGACGTGGATCAGCTATGCAACCAGTGGCTGAATTTTCCTGAGGAGTATCGTCGCGCTGTAGCTAGCCGGCTACAGCGACTGGTTTCTGGTCTCCCCTGGCTACTGAATTCTCTTCACCTGCTTATACAGGACTTTGGGGGGTGGACACTGCATCTCCACCCCCCAACTGCAACCGCTCACCTGCCCAGCCTGCAGGAGGACGAATCAGGCGATTCGCAGGGTCCTCCCTCTTTCCGGAGAAAACAGCCTTCACGCTGCCGTCACCCCTCGCTTGCTGAGCAATTTCAAGTGGTGAGTGATAATGACTGTTTACACACCAGCACAGGCTTTTTATAAAGCACTGGGGCGCAGCCACATCAGAACTTCTCCACATCACCATCAGTTTCCCCTGCCTCTCCAGCCCCTCCTTCTCGGTGGAAGCGATGTCCATGCCATGGGCAGTCATCCCCAGATGTGGTGAATCAAAAAGACTGTGTTCCTTCTGAGCCGGGACTTAATAACCGTGTGTCAGTCATTCCTGAGTCTATAAACTGTCTGCTAACTCCGGATTTATAAAGTTAGAAATTATCAATTTCTTCCGAGGCCACATTTTCTGGCTCCATGGATTGTAGAGGAGTTTCTCCTGCTCCTTCAGAGCCCAGGAATATAATAACACATACAGTTAATGTTGGCTTCGAGTCTGGGAGACTGATTTTCCCCAGGGCTCCCCCTGACTTGAGTTGCTGACCTCAGCTGGCTCTGGACCCCCGGAGGTCACAGAATCTGCACAGATTCAGTTATTTGGGCTTAAATCTTTTCTGTATGACAGATTTCAGATTCTGATATTTAAGACATTTCCTGTTGTGATTCCATAATTTGATATAAGTTCTTGAACTGAAGTAAAGTTTTCATCTTAAAGAACATGTTCTAGGTTTTTTTTATCCCCTTCCTATGCCCTGACAGAAAAGGTAGTATTTTCTATATGTTCTGATCCAAACAGGTATCAGTTTACATGGGATAAGTTATTTTTTAATTCCCATAAGGCTGTCAGGGAGGTGTGTAAGTTAAAGCTTTATTATTATAAAGCAGTTACGATGCGTAATACTGGAACTTATGAAGGCAGATTATATATTTTACTTTTCAAAATAGTGCGTGTTGTGGGTTCAGCCATCGGCTGTCTAAGAAGCCTGATTTAATCCAGTTTGGGTCCTCCTGGTTACCCATCAACAGGACCCAAAGGTCCAGATGAACAGAATCAAGGTTTTGGGATCTACTTACCTGAAACATTGAGCATGCACCCAGACACAGGCTTCAGTCAACACTGCATCGTCATGCTCGGTGCTGCCCAGATTCATGTTGGGTCTTGTGTTATTAGAACATAGTTTTAAATCACGGAGCCCAAACAATAAATTACTGATCAGCTTTCATAGGGATTTTTTGTTTTTTCAAATACAGATAAATTATAAAAATATTTCACTGTTTATCAAAACAGGGAATGATATTTTCCCCACTGCTGGATGTTATTGTTGCTGGTCTCTCTATGAACACTGTGAATGTTTGTAAATAAACAACTCTGCCCTTCAAACAGTCAAAAGTCATTTGATTTGCACAAACCGGACTTTGAGAGTAAAGAGTTGCATGCAGGGGTTTGGAGCTGCTGCAATGCTTGCGATGCAACACTTTCATGTGCACGGTGCCTTCTTTGTGCTCCTGGAAAGTGGACGCAGTAAATTCTGCACGTAGGAAATCAATTTTTTTCTCATGCTGAAGTTTTCAACTATAAATACACAATGCTGCAAGTCGTCAGAGCTGTTCTGGAGCGAGGTCGATACAATGTTACTCGTGGTTTTGATGTTTTGGCTGGTTTATATACAAAGACACTGAATTACTGAGTCTGGGACTCTGTGCAGACAACTTCACACTACAGTGTGTCTGAGCCTGAGCTATGTGTGTTTTACCTTAATCCGACTGACAGCTTCCTGTGCCTGCATCATTCGGATGTTCTTCGATGGTGTCTTATCTGACAGCAGCTGAGTGGAGCCAAGATAGTTGGCTGCAAAGATGATTCCATCAATTAGGTCATCTGGGTCACAGGGACCTGGAACTGGAGTATGACACAGAGTCACTACATGATACACACATACACAAAAACGCATAAAGGCTATACATAAGTGATTTTCCTTCAGATAGGAACAGCTTCTCCTCAGGCTGAGTTTGACTTTTTATAGGATTAAAGTCCTGAGGAAACATTAAGCACCCTTACTGCTTCCATAGGAATGAACAGGGTACAGCAAGGTGATGATAATGACGCGCACGTGATTAAATGATCAACAGCAAGTGTAACCCCATCATTAAAATTAGAACTTCTGACAGTTTGGGGCTCTGAAGCAGTCGGAGCTGAACAAACCAAAGTGGAAATGTTTG